GTTAGTTCTCTCCTTCCACCATGTGGATTCCAGGGATCAAATTCAGGTCATCAGACTTAGTGGCAAGCACCCTTATAAGCTGAGTCATTGGTCCTGCTTGCTTTTTTGAAACACGTTTATACATCTAAGTCTGACCTTGAACCCTGATCTTCTACCTCCCAGCGCCGGGGTTACAGGAGTGCACTGCCAGACTTGGTCCCTGCAAGTTTAAACTTAAAAAACACATGAGGCCAGTGGCTGCAGCAGTGTCTTGCAGGCTGCAGGAGGCACCGTTTCAGAGCCTGCATACTGACCTCCATGCAGTCACAGCCAGCCTCAGTAGCTCCACAGACCACCAGTCCTCTACACTCACAAGGGGCTCTGATTCTTGTCTGTCCCCACCATTCCCACTCAGCGCACTGAGGGCGGCTACAGGCCCATCTCCAGGCCCAGGGAAGCCTCACATTGCTAGAGAATAAAGGGCAATGGCTATCTGGTTACCACCACGTCCTGAGGCCTGGGGCCTCCCACTTGAGTCCTGATGCACAGCCCGGAGCTGATCCAGTCCTTGCAGCTTCAGGCTACCCCTGGCAGCACCCAAACGCTGCCCACTCACCATCTTCCCTGCCTCAGTGAGAAGGGTACAGCCTGGGTTGTCCTGGACTCTTCTCACTGGCCCATGTCCCAGCATAAAGCAGTCCTGAATGCACGATGTTCAAAGTAGACCCAGGATCTAACCATGTCTAGACCTGATCTGAGCACACATCTGGTGACACAGAACCTGAGGCCATCAGTATCTCCACCTGCAAGGTTCCCCCATCACCAACTCCACTTCCCATGTTCTGGGAACTGATTGTCCAAGCAGGCTGGGGCCCTGGACCAATGACTGGGGCTGTGGTTGCAGGACTTCAGTATGCCTTTACCACACTTTCTACTAAGAGACCACTAGCGGTGCCTGCTCACACTGACCATAGGTCCAGTTCACCTGTGCAAAACCCTCCTCAGTAACTTCTTTGTTTTCGGGTGTGGGGAGTGTGCATAGCACCAACCTAAGGCATCTCTACCTCCTAGCTCCTGACCAGAAAATTTGCCCCACCCATAATGGAATACTCATATTCTATTCTGCATCTCTGTGTATTTAAACATTTACATAGCAAGGTCAGGCATGTTGGTACAGTCCTTTCACGACAGCACTCAGGAGGCAGAGACAGGCAGATCTCTTTCTGTCAGGGCTACAGAGTGAGACCCCCATCTCAGAGGAGAGGGGAAGAGAGGGAAGGACAGCATAGTGAGAGCCCCATCTCAGAGGAGGGGGGAAGAGAGGGAAGGACAGTAAATTTTACATAGCAAAATATTTTGAAAAAGAATCAATTCTACCTCTAGAAGCCACATGTGCCCCAATGATAGAACACAGTGGCGGTGGCGGGTGAGGAGGTCTGGGACTGGCCCAGTACTTGCAATCCCTGCGACCTTGAACATTCCCACATCCTCCCTGAGCCTGGCTTTTTGTATGTACAAATGGGGCTAGCAGTAGCAGAGTGGGCTGCAGCCAGACACAGTGCACCTGGGGCTCAGAAGTGTTGTTGTTGTTTAAGGAAGGGAGGGCAGTCAGAGGCTAGAATGTGGAATCAATTCACCAGCTGGTGGGAAGGAGCCCTAACCTAGGGTTATAACCCTTCATCATGATCGTCTGGTTGGCCTGCAGCCTTAACGGCTTCAAGCGGCCTTTGCTATCACTGTAACTATGGCTGCACCTAAACTGTCTAATTTATGGACGAGCTAGAGAAAAAGGGTTAGCCTCCATGTCCAGATGTGACATCAGCAGGTTAGACTGAGGTGGTGAGGCTAGAGCCCTCACGGAGATCCTTATGAGAGACCTTAGAGTTCTTGCTCAACCCTCCCATGTGTGAGGATGAGGCTGAGAGCAACAGGTGTGAATGAAGAAATAACCTCGTGCCAGGCGGTGGTGGCGCACACCTTTAATCCCAGCACTCAGGAGGCAGGCGGATCTCTATGAGTTCAAGCCTGGTCTACAAGAGCTAGTTCCAGGAAAGGCTCCAAAGCTACAGAGAAACCCTGTCTCAAAAACCCAAAACACAGCCTCATTAGGTCCTAGATCCTGGATGCTTTGAGTTGATATTTAGAGCTCAAATGCTAGTGTGTAAAACAGCCAACAGAATGTACTTTTGTTACCATATCCTAGTGTAAAACACTAATCCTCTCAGTCTCAGTATCATCACATCCTCCCAAAGCTTCTTCACTACAGAGAGAGTCTTCCTGTCATCCTCCGCAGTCCAGCAAGCTGCTCAGATAACTAACTTCCTCCAAGCATACTGCCACACACACCTCTAATGCCAGCACAAAGAAAGCAGAAGCAGGTGGGTCTCTGTGAGTTCAAGAGCATCCTGGATCCTGGTCTGCAGAGTAAGACACTATCTCAGAGATTGGGGGGGGGTGGAGAAGAGGAGGAGGAGGAGAATGGGAGGACGAGGAAGAAGGAAGAAGAGGAGGAAGGAGAAGGAGGAGGAGAAGGAGGAAGAGGAGGGAAAGAAAGTTCCTTCTCCCTGTAGATCCTGCACCATATTTTACACTCATTTTATTTTCTGGCTCCCCATCTGAAATGCCAACTCCATGAGGGTACGGCTACATCTGTCCTGGTCTATCTTCATAACTTAAAAAAGAGCTAGGCTCCAAGCATGTACTAAGTACTAAACAGACAAAGGGCAAACATGCATGACAAGACATGACAGACCTGCAGCCTGGCCAGGAGTTGATGGTAGTGAAACAGGGTACAGAAGTTCACGTGCGTTGAGAATGCCTCCAAAGCCGCTCTCTCTGCTGGGCTAGAGTGGAACTCCTGGTAGCCAGAAGAAAACCTCGTTAGGCTTCTTTCCTCTTCCTCCAGAGAAACCCTTTCATGGTAACCCACATACAGGATGGGAACTCTGGACCAATTGTACAGCCGCAGCATACATCACATAGGGAGAGCCAGAGGCTGGGCACCTGCTCTGTACTGTTAGACATTCCCAGAATGTGTGCCATGTGACAGGTGCTCTTTCTTGACAGAATCATCCCCCAGAGAAGAGAGAGGGTTGGTGGAGTTAGAACCCCAGTTTTTCAAAGGGGGAAACAGGCTCAGTGAAGCTATTTGCTGAGAGTCATGATAAGCCCACCTGGCTCCAGAGTGCCACATGAAGATAGACATTATCCAGACAAATGTCCAAACCTGCATGAGCTTCAGTTTCCTCTGGAGTAGATGGCTATGGAGAATTTATTTATTTCTTGTGCATGTGTGTTTTGACTGTATGTATGTATATGACACCATGTGTATGCCTAGTGCCAACAGCCATCAGAAGAGGGCACTGAATCCCCTGGAACTAGAGCAATGCATGACTGTGAACTACCACGTGGGTGCTAGAAGCAGATCCTGGATCTTCCGCAGAGTAACAAACGCTCTTAATTAACAAGCCATATTCCCAGCCCAACTATGAGAAATTTTAATGAGACCATATGTGCGCTCTGTGCATGGATATATAGCCTAGCATAGGACTTGGTATACACGGTAGGCGATCAGTAAGTAACTTATAGTAATGATCGTCTTCAACAGCAGTAGATCTGACAGTGATGGCGGGCAGAGTTCAAACACAAGTACATCATGGGTGAGTCATTGTTCTGCTTTTACCTCACCTGCAAAATGGCATGATGGTGGTCTCTTTCTTATTGAGTTATTCTGATGGTTCTATACATGACAACCATGTAGCCCCGGGCCACAGAGTAAGAACTCAAAGTGTGATAATAATTATGATTACAGCTTTGAAGGTACGATTTTATTACGTAGTAGAAAGTAATGGTGAGGAAGACAGTTAAATCTATTTCAAGGGAAAAACTCAGGTCTCAGAGTGCCTGTTTAAAGCCCGGAAGAAGCCCGGGTCTGGAGTTCTTTAGGCATCTCATCTTCGAGCTCTTGCCCCTGCATTCCAACTCTTCTTGCAGCCACTAGGCATGCTAAGGGACCAGGAACTACAACCCTCAGGAGGCGCTAGAGCAGTCCTCAATAGCAGGTATAGTGGTGCAGTCGCAAGGTCGTCTGGAAACTGTAGTCCCCAGGCTCTTAGACCGCTAGTGGGCAGTACCTGTATCAGGAGGCGGAGCAGCTGCTCCTTGGAGAATGGAATGAAGCGCTCGCGGTACTGCTGGGCCCAGTCGCGGGGCTCCGTGGGGTTCCACATCTTTCGGTACACCCCCATCCTGTTCTCCAGGGACGACAGAGCCCGAGGAGTCCCAAGAAGAGCAGGCACCAGGGACCATACTCGGACCTTGGACCCCCAGGTCACATGCAACATGGCCAGCCCCCTTTCCCAGAGCCTAAACATAAGCAAATGAGGGGGTGTCAAAGGTCAGTTGGAGGCAGTACCTCCACGCACCCCGCCCTTCAGGGGGAACAGTCTCTATCTAAGCTTTCTTGTCCAGTTCCTTCTACACTGCACATTTAGGTGGGTTACAGACTAGGGGCAGAGGTCGTAGTTTGGAGCATTTTGCAAGCTCAGGGACTCTGTAGTGGTACAGGTGGTCTCTGCGGAGTTTTGACAGCGAGGTAAATCTCAGGAATGTTGGGAAACCAGGAAAAGTTAATAGCAGGTGCTGGGCCGTCCTCCCTGGGCCATGCAATCCCCCACCCTTCCCTCACCTTAGCCGACGCGCGACTGTCATTGAGCCTTCTGCGCATGTGCAGGAAGAGATCCTGGGCCCAGAGGATAGGCTTCAGCAAGCGGTTAGACGCATGCGCAGAGCCTGAGTCTTTGAAACCATTTTTTTTTTTTTTTTAAAGAGCCTTTATCTCAATTACGCATGCTTCACCGCTAATCTGTGTTTAGGTCTGCGCACGCGCCAAAGAAGCGTCACCTGGCCCGCTATTTCAAAGAGAGAGGCGGGGCGAGTGCGACAAGTTCGGAGGCTGGGGCGGGGCCGGGCCCTCGAGCGCGCGCCCGGCCAACGGCGACCCGCCCAACGTCTGCCGAGACCACGCCTTTCCTCTAGTCAGTTCGGATAGGTGGAAAAGAAAGGGGCGGGATTTAAGTGCAGCCAATCACCTGTAGAAAACAGAAAAGGCGGGAAAAAGAGGACCCAAAAGGAGGCTGGAGGTGGCGCCCGGGAGCGGGAGAGGAGAGCAGGCAGCCGGAGGATTCTAGCTCCCAGAGGTGAACGCTGGTCCTCGTCCCTTGGAGAATAGGTGGTCCTCCTCCGGCAGCGTCCCCCTGGGGTCCCAGCACTTCCGCCCCTACGTCCCTGGAGGGAAGGCCCTGTTCTAAGAAGGTTGTCCCGTGAGTGGCGGCTGACAGACCAGACCCCAGTATGAGACAATGTGTCTTCCTGAGACAGAACTGAAGGAAGCCTAAGCAAGACTCATGTTATGGGAAATGACCCAAGTCAGAGAATATCTCAGCTATGCCTGGGCTCCCCCACGGTCTTCTATGCCAAGGGAGCTAGCTACACTCCCTCCGGGACTCTCGTCTACAACCCTCCTCACTAGTGTCCCATGTCCTGGGGTCCCTAACCACTCTAAGGACCCGGCAGTTCTGTCACCCTCATCACCCTCATCCTGTATTCCCAATACCAGGGTCCTCAGAACCCTCCGGCCCTTATCAGCTCCTGAGACCTCCAACAGTCCTTGAGCCTACTTCCAACTTCTAGGACCTGGGTTCTCATTCCCAGAACCTATCGTCCCTTACCCCAGCACCCGGGACCACCCAGCAAGTTCTCACCCCATATTCCTGACTACTGAAAACAGAAGCAGCCCCTTCACCCTATTCCTCTCTCTTCCTAAAGCTCCTAACAGCCCCTCGGTCCGTCCTTCCCCACCTTGGGAGTCCAGTTCAGGGGACCCTCAGTCTCAAACTGGCTCCCACTTCTAGACACCCAGTCCTCCCTTGACACCAGACGCTGACTCAAGCCTCCACCCTACCCAAGCCTGGGCCAATGTTCCCGCCTCCCAGCACCCCGACTCAGACATTCCCATTTGTGTTGTCTTGCAGCAGCTGAGCCCTGGGGTGGGCTTGAAGCACACAGACAGCAGTGCCCAGAAAGCAGCACCCAACACCCTTGCCCCTACCTCCCAGGACACCCAAAGAAAAGCAGCCACCATGCATCTTCCTGAAAGCCTGCAGGACCTGGCGGACAGTGAAACTGTGCGCTTTCTGAAGAGACCAAAGAGCATCTCGAGGGTCTGCGGAGGGGTGAGACCCTGCGGGTCAGGACACGGGAGAGATGAGTTCTCAGATAGGGAAGAGGGGTGGTCAGATAGGGAAGCAAGCACACAGGAGCCTAAAGCTGAAGCTCCCTTTTACTGAGGATCTGGTCATGCAACTAGCCGTTCTCAATACCAGTTAACTCATCACAAGGAAGAACCCCACAAAGTTGGGCATGATCTGTAATACCAGCACATGGGAGACTGCGCGAGAATTGTCATGGGTTTGAGGCCAGTCTAGGTGACAGTGTAAGGAAAAGAAAAAAGTGAAAAAGAAACCTTTAAAGGAGAAGAAAATACCCCTCCCCTCAAAAAAACCCACAATTTTGATAAATGGAATCAGAGCATTTGAAGACTGCTTGCCCAGTGGGGTAGCCACAAACCACATGAGCTACTCCAGTTCCAACTAATTTAATTCAAATAGCATTCTACATTCAGTTTGGCTATATTTCAGGGGCTGAGCTGCTGCAAGTACCTTGTGGCTTTCCCACTGAACATCATAGGTTCAGTACATTTTCATCATGCCAGAAAATTCCATTAACCAGCATCCATTAAAGTTAACACAGAAAAGGGCAGTACCACTGCATTCTATGAGATACCCATTCATTTTCCACTTCCCAGGTGGGGATGGGGAAAACAGGGACTGAGGTCTATTTCAAACAGAAAAAGACCTACAGATGGGAAGAAGACAGTACGCAACAGATTCAGGCGTCAGGAGTGAGTGGTCACTGTCAGGCAAGGTGCTGAGGCTTTCTGTGCACCCTTTAGTCACTACCGTATCCCCAGAGAGACAGGACACTGGGAGAAAAATCCACAGTCAGCCCACTCATGCTGTGTGACCTTGACATCAAACCAATCACTGCCTCTCAGCATCAGTACAGAAGTCATCTATTTATACCTATGGGCTTAGCCTGCACTGCTTCCTTCTCTTTTAAATTATTTGAATGTGCCTTCATGAGTTTATTCGCACCACAGGCATGTAGGCACAGGTGAGGCTAGAGAGTTTCAGATCATCTGGAAGTGCAGTCAGAGCTGATAGCTGGGGCTTCTGGGAACCAAAACCTGGATCCTCTGTAAGCACAGCATCTTAGTTACTGTTCTATTGCTGTGAAAAGGCACCATAGCCACGGCAACTTATACAAAAAAGCATTAATTGAAGGCCTGCTTAGAGTTTCAGAGGGTGAGTCCATGACCATCAGGGCAAGCCTGTATGCATGCATGGAGCTGGAGCAGTGGCTGAGAGCCTACTTCCTATCTGCAAGTTAGAGGCAGAAAAAACAAACAGGAAAGGCATGGGCTTTTGAAACCTCAAAGTCCACTGCTAGTGACACACCTCCTCCAAAAAGGTCATGCATCTTAATCCTTACCAAATAGTCCCACCTACTAGGGACCAAGCATTCAAATATATGAGCCTGGCCAAGACATAGTGGTACACATCTTTAATCCTAGCACTCAGGAAGCAGAGGCAGAAGGATCTCTGTGAACTTGAGGCCAGCATAGTTTACAGAGCAAACTCCAAGACAGCCAAAATTACATAGAGAGACCCTGTCTCAAAACAAACAAAAATCAAACATGAGCCTGTGAGGGCCATTCCCATTCAAATCACAACACGCAGTACATTCTCTTAACCACTGAGCCATCTCTCACGATCATGCCCCCACACACCCTCTTTTACGTCTGGGATGTCTTTTGTATGTTTCTGTTGTTTGAGACAGGCTCTTAATTCTGTGGCCTAACCAGGCTGGCCTTGAATTCATAACAGAGCTTCTGTGTGAGCCTCCCTGAGTGTCAGGACATAGGCATGAGCCACCCATGCTCAGCCAGCCTGTTCTGCTTCTATTGTTTTCCCCGGACAGAACTGGCAACTGAAGCCCAACGATGAGATCTGGTTAGGGTTATGGGAGCAGGAACCATCCTTCTGACCTGGTTCTGCAGCGAGAGTCTCTCCAGGTTCCCAATCCATAGTATCTTCTCTCTGTCCTCTGGAACAATTCAGACCGGCCTAACTTTGAGTCTTGGCCTATGTCTGTCAGAGGGACAAACTACCCTGTTGGTTGGGCTGCCCCAGGCATAGCCAGCAGCAGCAGCAGCAGTAGCAGCAGCGCCTTTCCTTCCCAGAAATGACCCTTTGCCTCAGTAGCTTACATGGTCAGACTGTGGCCTGTCACATCCATCTTCTCCGAACCCGTGTCCTCATCTGTAACAAAAGGGTCCAATACCCCCACTCCTGGGCAGGATTGCTGTGAAGATGAGACAAGGCAATACATATACACGCTGACTAGCAGGGGGCTGGCAAATGCTGAGCTCTCCTTAAATAGCAAGTATTGTCACTGAAATAATTCTCAACTGTGAGGGAGGAGAGGGCTGGAGGAACCTGGGATGACAGGAACTGGTGCACACTGTCTTTTATTGTGAGAAGAGGGGACTTACGACTGTCACACGCTGCTCCCTGGTGCCTTCTCTCCTCACCACAACCTATGACAAGGACATACTAATATGTATAATCCAAGGGGAAACTGAGACTCCCAGACAGAGGTTGAGTGATCCGTCAAGGTCATTACCCATCAGATGCAGAAGTCAAACTCAGATCCACTCACTGTCTCCAGTGCCTGGAAAGGGGAAGCAAGCAAGGAGCAGGGAGCCCAGCTGGTACGGCCAAGGGCAAGCCAGGGGGAAGGCAGCCAGCCATGCCAGACCTTGTGGTCATGGACTTTGCCTGGGCTCCCATCCTCCCTCCCCGACAGTCTCCTTCCCCTGGCCTGGTTCCTCAGTGGGAGTCTCTGGGCAGCTGGTATTCGTGTCCTCCATGCTTCTTGCCAGCTGGTATCTGAACTCATGCATCTTTGTTCCCTTCCTGGAGACAAGCGAAGGAGGGTGCTGAAAGAGACTGGTCTCAGCCTTCAAGGAAATAGGATCCCCAGCTAGTTGATGCCCCTCCCCACATTTCCAATGCCCTAGGTGCCACTGTGGACTAACAGCCCCGGGGTCTGGAAGTCAGGAGGGCTGGACTCAAGCCCCACCCTAGAGCAGCTTTAAGGGTCTGCTTCCTCTCTAGTGAGTCCTGTGAACCAATATTGTCCTGAGCACTTACCAGACCTGAGCCCCCACTGTTCTCCACAACATAAACACACTGGGAAACTGAGGTCCCAAGGTCCGAGTGACTTGCTCAGAGCTACACAGCTTTGCAGAGTCAGAAAGTGTGGCTCTTTCTGCTGTGTTGTAGTGTGGTAGGGAATTAGCAATGTGTACTTCCCTTTGTGAGGTGGTACAGTTCCAGGGAGAAGCACGGGTAGAAAGAATATGAGTTCAAAAATAATTGATGTGCCCTCCTGTTCTTTCCCGGCCTCATCTTGGCATGAGTAGTGTGCTTCCTCAAGACTGATCCTTAGCTCCCAGACCAGTGGTTCTCATCCTTCCTAGTGCCATGTCACGAAATCATTTCATTGCTACTTCATAACTGTAATTCTGCTACTGTTGTGAATCATAATGTAGGAAAGGTTGAGAACCATTATCCCAGTCCATCTTACAGCCTTCCTTCATGAACTTAACTATAAAGTACTCGGCAAGAAGAGAGACTAGTTATTTTGATTATAAAAGCAATAACTAAAGGAGAGAGACAGGAAGACAGACAAAGGCAGGTGATTAGGGAAGGACTTTTACCTCACCCCCCACACTGAAGGATATGGAAAGAGTTAGTTACTCTTCACACATTAATTGAGGTCCTACCTGCACTGCTGCAAACATACATACCCCTGCAGAACCTATCCCTGGGAATTCAAATCTTATCAAAATTTTCCTTTTTCTTCTGCACAACTTCCCATTGTTTACAGTTAGAGCCAAAAATGTCTCTGAATTCCTCAGGACTCTGTTCTCCCTCCCAGCCTGCTCTGTGAACATCTCTCTCACCCTCACCCTTTATACAGTCCATTGGTCACATGACCCAAGAGAACTTCCCCAATACCTGGGTCTGGCCTTAGCTATCTTAGAACCCTTCCATGCTCAAAGAAATTCTTTTTTTTCATTTTTTTATTGATATTTATTGAGCTCTACATTTTTCTCTGCTCCCCTCCCTGCCTCTCCCATCCCCCCCTTCAACCTTCTCCCAAGGTCCCCATGCTCCCAATTTATTCAGGAGATCTTGTCTTTTTCTACGTTCTACTTCCCATGTAGATTATTTCTATGTAAGTCTCTCTTAGTGTCCACATTGTTGTCTAAGTTCTCTGGGATTGTGGTTTGTAGGCTGGCTTTCTTTGCTTTATGTTTAAAAACCACCTGTGAGTGAGTACATGTGATAATTGTCTTTCTGTGTCCTTTGAGTGAGGTTACCTCACTCAAAATAATGTTTTCAACTCCATCCATTTTCGTGCAAAATTCAAGCTGTTGTTATTTTTTTCTGCTGTGTAGTACTCCATTGTGTACACGTACCACATTTTCCTCATCCATTCTTTGGTCGAGGGACATTTAGGTTGTTTCCAGGTTCTGGCTATGACAAACAAAGCAGCTATGAACATATTGAGCATATGTCCTGCTCGAAGAAATTCTAATGAGGGGCTAGAGAGATGACTCTTGTTTTTCCAGAGGACCCAGGTTCAACTCTGACCACCCAAATAGTGGCTCACAACCATCCTTAACTCTAGTTCCAGGAGATCTAATCCCTCTTCTGACCTGAATGCACCAGAGACACAAGTGGTACATGCATACATTCAGGTTAAACACTCATACACATAAAGTAGATCTGTAGATCTTAGAATTAAAAAAGTCAAATGAGAGTTTTAACTGTCACACCTCCTTGAATGTGATGTTGAGGTCTTTGAACACTAGCTCTTCCCACCATAGATATCCTGCATATCAGATATTTACAATTCACACAGTAGCAAAATTACATCTATAAAGTAGCAACTAAAATAATTTTATGGTTTGGGGTCACCGCAGCATGAGAAGTTCATATAAAGGGTCACAGCTTTACAAATTATAGGCATGTACCACCATGCCTTGCAAAACTCCCTTAACATCCAGATCTCAACTTACTACTTTCTAAATTCAGCCCCAGAACTTTGGTTTCCACCCAAACTTTAGCTCTGGTCCACTCTCCTCTGACCTGACTCCCCAGCATGCATGCAGACTTACCAACTCTCCACCACCCGAAGGCTTTTCCCACACTGACAGCTGATCTGCCCTGCCCTGCTCACAGCCTTCCAAGCAATGGTCCCACTACTCAATGCTTCTCATCCTGTAGCATTCCATGAAGAATGCCCGCTGGACCAACTTCCCTTTCTACCCAGTAGACACACAAAGGTTCCTTCTATGCCCGATGGGGGCTTCTGTCTTTCACAGGTTTGCGCTAATAGGAGCCTCTGCTCTCAAGGCTGGCTCCAGCATGAGCAGACCATGAAAGATGAGGAGCTGTATGGCTGGGGTCCGAGTGGAGGCTGGGCTGCTCACTAGCTGAAAAAGTCATCCAGCTCCTTGTCCTCTGTGCCTCAGACTTATTATCAGAAAAGTGCCTCTGTCGTGGGTGGTTACAGTGTCACCTCAGAGAATGCAGGTGCACGGGCATGGACGCAGTTACTACGGCAGTGCTGCGGTGCTTTTTAACTAGGTGTGGTGTTCCATGCCTATAATCCCAGAATTTGAGAGACTGAGGCAGGAAGATGACTATGAGCTCAAGGTCAGCCAGGGCTGCTTGTGAAATCCTGTCTCAAAGAAAAAAAAATCCCAAAGTAAAATGTCAGAATGTTGACATTTTAATTCTGTAATCAGTACTGCATATCTGTTACGCCCTTGCACATTTTTGGTATATTTTGATTATTTCACAAGTTTATTTCAAAAAATGAATTGGGGAAGAGGGAGCTAGAAGATGGCTTGGCAGCTAAGAGTACTTGCTACTCTTACAGAGAATCTGAGTTTGGTTCCCAGCACCTACCTCACAACTACCTATAACACCAGCTCCAGGGGATCCAATACTTTCTCACTTCCACAGGCAAGCAGGCACACACACACGCACACAAGCACACACATAGAGCATAGACATGGCCAAACATGCATAATTTAAAATCCTTTAAAAATGATTTGGGAGCTGAAAAAATGGCTCCGCTGTTGTGAGTACTAGCAGCTATTCCAGAGGTCCCAGGTTCAATTCTCAGTACACATAGGGTGGCTTGCAGACCATCTGTAACTCCAGTTCTCACATGGGCATTGCATACATGTGGTTTGCAGACATACAAGCAGACAAAATACTCACACGTGTTAAATTAATAGATTTAAAAGTTAAAAAGATGAACTGAGTAGTGATGGTGACACGTGCCTTTAATCCCAGCACTCGGGAGGCAGAGGCAGGCAGATCTCTCTGAGTTCAAGGCCAACCTGGTCTACTGAGAGAGTTCTAGTGTAGAAGGAACATCGGGTACTTCCCACTGCCTGCCTGACTAGCTTTACCCAAAATAATTACACGGAAACTGTATTCTTTTAAACACTGCCTGGCCCATTAGTTTCAGCCTCTTATTGCCTAATTCTCACATCTTGCTTTAACCCATATTTAGTAATCTGTGTAGCACCACGAGGTGGTGGTTTACCGGGAAAGATCCTAACCTGCATCTGTCTTGGAGAGGAGAGTCATGGCGACTGCCTCATTGCCTTCTTCCCAGCATTCTGTTCTGTCTACTCCACCCACCTATGTTCTGACCAATCAGGCCAAGCAGTTTCTTTATTAATTAACCAATGAAAGCAACACACAGAAACAAGGCCCACCTACATCATTTCCCCTTTTTCTGTTTAAACAAAAAAGAAGGCTTTAACAGCTAGGGATACATAGATAAACTCTTTCTCAAAACACCAAAATAATAATAATAATAAATTAGCTGGGCAGTGGTGGTGCACTCCTTTAATCCCAGCACTCAGGAGGCAGAGGCAGGCGAATCTCTGTGAGTTCAGGGTCAGCCAGAGAAACCATGTCTTAAAATAAATAAATATTTATTGGGACTGAACACTGTAGGAGGAGGCCACCTGTTTGTTCCAGCCACCCAAAACCAAAATAACCACACAGAAACTGTATTATTTAAATCACTGCTTGGCCCATTTTAGCATTAGCTTCTTATTGGCTAACTCTTACATCTTAATTTAACCCAACTCCATTAATCTGTGTATCACCACGAGGTCCTGGCCTACCAGCAAAGTTTCAGCACATCTGTCTCCAGTGGTGGCTCCATGGCTTCTCTCTGACTCTAACTTCTCTCTCCCAGAATTCAGCTTAGTTTTCCCCACCTAGCTCTGTTCCCCTATAGCTTTGCTATAGGCCCAAATAAATACAGTTCTTGTATTTATCAATGGTAATCACAGCACACAGAGGGGAATCTCACATCAAAACACAGCTCAGTGGTAGAGTGCTTCACTAACATGAAGAGGCCCTGGTGTCAGCCCTCAGCACTGGGTAGAAGGGAGTGGAGGGGAACACCTCTTAGTAGGTCTTGTATCCTGAACAAGGGTGGTAGCAGGAGAGTACAGAACAGAGAGCAAGGGTGAGGGACAAAGATCAAGTTAGCTAAGGCAAGAGTGCGTTGGAAGCCAAGGTGATGGGCTAGAACTGGGACACTGGGGAGCCTTGAGGGACTGCAAGCTGGAAGAGCAGAGGGGAGACTGGGGTGAGAGTAGGGAAGGGATGAGGCCAGAGCCTGGACAGAGGAAAGGAGATGAAGGGCAGACACAGGGCTCTGAGGCAGTATCAGGAGGGGCCGCTGCAGAGTGTTACCCAAAAGGAAAGGCATCTGGGAGGAGGCACTCAGTTCCACCCTGTCTGCTGTGGTTCACAGGTCTTTTCCCTGGTCATCTTTTCCTCTCTACTAACTGATGGTTACCAGAACAGGACAGAGTCTCCTCAGCTCCACTGCGTCCTCAACAGCAATCACATGGCCTGCACCTTCGCAGTAGGAGCTGGCTTCCTGTCCTTCCTCAGCAGCTTGGTCTTTCTTGCCCTAGACGCCCGTGAGAGCCGCATCACAGGCAACCGCTTTAAGACAGCCTTCCAGCTCTTAGACTTCATCCTGGCTGGTGAGTGCCAGGGGACCATGCAGAGCTACCCTTCTGTTCGGCCCTCCCAGGCTCCCCAGTGCCTACAGGTCACAGTCCTGAGTCCACCCTGCCAAACCTGTGCCTGATGGTCCTCCCACTGTGAGGGTCTGACACCATGGTTCCTCCCAGAAGCATCTTCTAGTCCTTCATCCTTCCCATCCCCTCCTTGCCTGTAGCCCAAGCTGCTTCTTCCTCTTATTTCACTCCCTGGCTCACTGAACACAGCCTGGAAAGCCCACCCCATGGCAGAAATTTGATTCAGAGCACTGAGTCAGATGGACCCTTAGTGAAAGTTAGGATGAAAACTCTACCTTGCAGGGGTTTCTGGTGTGGAATGAGTTAAGGGATGCCTAGAGTCATGTGGACACCTGCTGAGCACTTCCCACTGTTAGGTACACCATTAAGGTATGAGCATCCTCTTCTCCAGTTCTAAGACAACCCTTGGGGTAAGTCCTGCTCATCTTATTTTACAGGAAAAGCAGAGGCTGAGGTAATCATCTGACTGAGCCACTGCTGCCCAGTAGATGGCAAGCCCTGTGCTTTATAACTGTGCTGTGGATCTATAGAGCTCAGCACACAGATATATAACTCTATACCATGCTGTAGAATCTGTAGAGCTCGGCACACAGAAAGCCCACATTTTATACCCAGGCCCTCAGATCCTCTTTACACTACCTCTCTTCCCCTCCCCAGAAGCCATTCCCAGCTCCTCAGAGCCAGAGACTGCTTCTGTCAGAGAAGCTCTTCACTGAGAAGGGGCTGTCTTCTCTCAAGGCCCCCAGCACAGAGATGTGCCTGGCCTACAGGAAACTGGGCTTCTTTGAGACGCTGATGAAGTTGACACTACATGTAGCTTCAGCTCTTATTAGATGTGGGAACGCTACTCCAGAAGTTGACTTTTGGGGACACCTGAGGGATTTAGATTAGGACCGGGGGTAGAAGCGGTGTCACAGGACCCCCTAGCCCATCCCTAGCACACCTGGCCTGTGCCCCAGCATGCTTACCCACCTGTTTTCTTCCCTCGCCCCTCTAGTCATCTGGGCAGGTATCTGGTTTGTGGCCTTCTGCTTCCTAACCAGCCAGTGGCAGCATTCGAAGTCCAAGCATTTCCTCTTGGGGAACAGCAGCGCCAAGGCAGCCATTGCCTTTGCTTTCTTTTCCGTCCCTGTCTGGGTGAGGACAAGCCCTGGCACCCCTCCAGGGTGGGTTGGGAGGGCTACAACCAGGACTCTCCCTGGGCCTCTGCTGTCATCCTCCGAGCCTACCTTCCTTAGACATCCCCATCTCGGGTACTGTTAGGCAGTGAGCAGACAGCTATCCACTGCATCCCCTAGGCCAGTTCCTGGGTCTCCCTGTCTTCACGTTCCATCCCAGCCAACTTAAATCCTACCCTTTCCTGCCCACAGATATTCCAGGCGTACCTAGCCTTCCAGGACCTCCGAGATGAGGCTCCAGTCCCCTACAAGCGCTCCCTGGATGAGGGTGCTGTGGTGCTGAACACCCTTTCCCCATCATCCACCACTAATCTCGCCAACCCTCCCACCACAGGCCCCAACAGTGTGAGTTACACCAGCTCAGCCCTGTCCCCCTACCTGACTACTCCAAAGGCCCCCCGCCTGGCTATGATGCCAGACAGCTGAACAGCCTTATCTACGTCAGTAAAGAGCTCCTTCTCCTGGGGGGTTTCTGAATAATCCTGTCCTCTGTCTGTTCCTCTCTTCCCTTGAGTTGCAGGGGGAGGAGGGAGACCCCCCTCCCGATAAAGGTTACATTTCTGTGCTACCAAGTACCAATCACGCTGCTGACCACAGGTCGGAAGTGTTGACAGGCGGGAAGCCCTGCCATGTCTCCTATACCCTGAGCCCACACTGGCCTTGGAGAGGAGGCACATGGGCCTCATACTGCAGCTAGGGTTGAGGCTGAGAGAGAAAAAGACCTTCTTCCCCCAGAGCACCAGAGAGAAGGTGCAGCGCTGACCCAGCAGCTCCAGCTCTTCACCCCAGTGACAAATCCTCAAGAGGTCAGGGCACCGAGTCCATGATGAGAGTTAGATCTGCGTCTTCAAACACATTACATCTGGCCTGGGAAAGAGGCAAGTGTCTCCACTCCACACCTCCAGGGTCAACAAGCTACAGACCTGCTAGGAGGGATCAGGGATCAGGCAGGTGGCACCTTGTGCCAGAGTGTCAGCCTTTCCTCACCACCCAGCCATGGGGCTGAGGATGCAGAAATTTGCTCAAAGCTACATTGAGAAAAGAAAAAATAAGGCAATTTTAATATATTTCATTTAACTTAATATATTCAATGTGTCACTGTTTCAACGTATAGTCAATCTGAAAATTCAGTTTTTCTTCTTTGTAAGTCATGGTTTGACTGTGGAGCTCAGGCTGACCTGGAAATTACTCTTCCCCAGCCTCAGTACTGGGATTCTAGGCAAGCCCACCCTTCCCAGCACTGTACACTCCCGCTGCCTCTTACATTCGCTCTCACCATGAAACTCCACCCTGTGCCTCCACTCACAACACAGCTCACTTGGCATCGCCACATCAGGGGCTGGGTGGGCACCACTGGCAGCACCACACTTGATCCTCGTGCTGGGTTCTCTGAAACAGCTAAAACATCTTTTTTATCGATGTTATTTGGTTTGTTTTTCTATGTGAACTTGGTGGATAACAGACTTTTTCTTTTAAAGTAGGATGCTAGAGCTGTAACTCAGTTGTTGCACTTGCTCAGCATGCACAGATCCCTGGGTTCGTTTAATCTCTAGCATCACAAAAACCAGGTGTGAGAGTGTAGCCATCTCTCAGGAGGGGGAGGCAGAAGGATCAGAAGTTCAAGGTCAACCTCAATACTAAGGGATTGAGGCCAGCCTAGGATACATCGCTCACACACACACACACACAACCAAACCTGTACAAGGGCTGGGGCCGGCATGACCTGCAAAGCATTCATTTGTAAACTGAACAAAGATGCAAGTTATGAGGTGAAATTTAGACTCTGGTATGTCCTTTGAGGGCACAAAAATCACAGAGCCTGGTCCCATGGAGTGGAAGAAAACAGCAGGGTGACAGGAAGCACTCTGGCCAGGGAAGCAGGCTGTCATAAGCTGGACGGTCTTCAGCATGCCGTGCAGTTTCTCTTAGACGGATTGGTTCTCAACCCGTGTGCAAGGAGGCATCTCAGAGATAAGCAGTCAGGGCCCTGCCCACCCTGCGCTGGTGTTGTCAGGCTCTGGGCAACACTCTTCTCCCCAGAACACCAGGGCTCGGGAGAGAAGTCCAGGAACAAGCCGTCGTTGTCGCTCCCCCTCCTGTGCCTCACTCTTCTCATTTATGAAGTGTTCCTTCCTTGGGAGACTCGGCCAAATGAGAACATCCATGTGATATCAGGGTATAGCGAGTCCTCTAGAAAAGTTATTGTTCAAAGAACTGGAATTGGACACAACTAAGAACTGGGAAGTTCTCAAAGGACAAATAGGGAGGTTAACTGAGCCAAGTTTCAAAATCCAGATGCTGACTCAATGAAGGAGTCACTTGCCTGGGAGACATACATGGCCCTGATTTGAGCCCCAGCACTGCAAGAGACAGACAAAAATGACCCTGCCACTGAGGAGAGCCAGGCAAACAAGGGAAGTTGGAAACAGCCAGGTGTGGAGCCCATCTCAAAGGAGGCCAGAAAGAATTAGTTTGCTTTTTTTTTTTTTTTCCCGACAGGATTTCTCTGTGTAACAGCCCTGTTCTGGAACTTGCTTTATAGACCAGGCTGGACTTGAACTCACAGAGATCCACCTGTGCCTGCTTCCCAAGTACTGGGATTAAAGGCATTCACTACCACACCCTGCTTTCATTTGCCTTTTAACTCTTAAAAACACATACAGTGTCAGCCCAGTAATAAATGGTGACAGTCCGTAGCCAATTTCTAGCTATGTGGAAAAATGCAGGCATTTCATCTCCTCAACTCCAGCCATCTGCTGCTATCTAAAATGAGGACCGTCGCTGCTGAACTCACCGACTTCTTTTAAAGAGGCTAGAAATTCAGACTGGGATATAAAGGTCTGGTTTTTAAAAGCTTTTTTTTTTCTTCTTTCTTTCTTTTTTATAAAACAGTATCAAAATGTCAGGGTTGAGGGATAGCTGGAGAGATGGCCCAGCAGTTAAGATCCCTGGCTACTCTTACAGAGGACCTGACTTCAATTCATAGCACCCACATGGTGGCTTGAAACTGTCTTAACTTCAGTTCCAGGAGACCTGATGCCCTCTTTTGGCCTCTGCAGATACCAGGCACACAAATATTACCCAGACGCACATGCAGGTAACACTCATACACATAAACAATGTTTTAAATGCCAACTGAGAGAAGGATGAGGCTGTCCCTTCAGGTGGAGGCCATGCATGTTCTTCAAGGTCCTCTGTGGTAATCAGGTCGAGAGTCATCAGGTAGTTTCTGTATCAAACGAAGAATAAGATTCTCCCAGCCTCTTCCCTGCAGAACCTCGAGGTTTCAAGGTGCACTAGAGAGTCCTGGGAAACCCATTTCTCATCTTCCTGTGCCTTCAAGATCTCTGACCATCCCCAGATGGTCCATGTGCAAAAGTAGAAGCCAGGGCCCAGCACAAACCAAAGCGAGCAGGGAACAGCAGAGAGGACAGTTTTCCTCAGTTTATTTCAAGAGAACAAAGAATCAGCCATCAAATTCTGTACAAAAACATGGTGTTAGAGTGTGGTGACCAACAGGCCAGCTAGCCTCCTTCCCTTGCCTAAGTCCAAAGCTTCCCCTAATTTAACAAAAACAGGACCCAACCCCCTACCCCCACACACAAAAAGCTAACAAATTCTGGAAAAAATTATGAAAAATTAGGGAGACCCTCCTTAACTTTCTTCCTTCTTACTACCAATCCAGGGACTTGTGGGGAGGATCGCGGTCACAGCCAAGGTAGGCAGGCAGGCATTGGCAGACGTAGTGTTTGGCAACCATGGGGCTGGGGTGGGATCTTGGAGGGAGACAAGTGGCTTAGAGAAGGAAGTAGACCTCCACTGGCCCTGGTCCAGAGAACACTCAAAACACAGTTTATAAAAAATCAGGGCCAGGGTAGAAGAGAAAAAAGTCATCAGAATCAAAAACTAAATAGTGGAAAGATTTGTTTTTTGTTTTTCTTCTCTAAAAGGCAAAAGGCTACAAACAGCTCAGGTCCTGACCTCCCCAGGATAGGAGTCTTTCACCGACCCCAAAACCCAGCTGGAGGGGTGGGGAGCCAGGAGAGGCGAGCGCTTTAAAAAGCCAACTCTGGATGAGAAGGCCTTGATCTTGAGCAGCCTTCTCTGCCTCCTGCCCTGCCTCGGTGAAGGCTGGTGAGGCCAGGGCTATGCCGGTAAGCTGAGCTTCTTCCCCTTTAGGACTGTGGAGAAAGAAACAAGGTGAGCCTTCCACCCTACAGGCAACCTCCCACCCTGAACAAGGTCCGCTCATGAGCTGTGCAAGGGGAGGGAACCCCAGGACTCTACATTCTCAACAACCAGGTTGAGTCTAGATCAACCAGGGGGTAGAACCAAGGGCTGAGCAGAGGGGGCCAAGAGCAGGCTTTGTTTTCAGTAGTGCTGACTATACACATGGATCAGACAGCCTAGCAGGGTTGATGGGCAGGACAACCCCATCCAACCTTCCAAGCCTTAATTCTAGGGCCTAGCAACAACCTGATATCCAGGCTCTTGTCTCTATTGCCCCAAACTGTGTTTTTGTGATGCCTAGGCTGGCCTCAAACTCGACACAATCCTGCCCTAGCCTCCACAGCCGGGATTACAGGCCTGGTCTTACTGCCTCTTTCCTTTATATGCTGATTCCTGGTCTTCAGGTGCCTTCTTAAACATCACGTCCAAATGCCCACGGCCCTGACTAAGGCAGGTCTCACCCTGCTATCGCAGTGCCCCAAGAACCCATGCCTGCCTTCATGTACTCCGTGTTCCTCTCGTCACTAGGTAGTTTCCCTTTACGGGCCATCTTCCCCAGGAGGACCTAAGGGAGGAGAGCACCTCGACTACTTCTGCCTTCATGGCTGAGCCATGGACATGGCAGATACTCAACAAGTTTGTACAATAAAAATAATGAATTTCACCCTCAAGAGTCCTTGCTTTGCCGATCTCCACATGTTGAAATATAGCCTGAGAGTCAAAACTCAAGCCCTGGGGAGGCAGGGTCTGGAATCTAAATAAGGGATGGTAGGCCTGGAACCCCAGAAGCTAGAAAAGGAAGTCCCATCCCCCAGGTGACATTTGGCTAAAGAATGACCCTGGGCCCAGGGAATACAGGACTGGGAACAGAGCAGGCCTTTCAGCCAGCCCCGCATCCTGGTTACCTTTGGTGATGTAGAGGTAGAAGAAATCGCAGTAGAGGACTGTCTGGACCAGGCCAGCAACAATGGCGATAAGGTCAAAAAAGCCCTCGAAGTGGTAGCGCCAGATCCAGTTGAAGAGATAGAGTGTGCGGTAGACACCCAGTGCGAACAGGTAGTGGCTGGTAATGGTCTCCGCCTCACCCGTCTTGCTCACCATGAACAACTGCGGCAGGATGGCCACTGACTCCAGGTAGATGGAGAAAGTCCAGAGGATCTGTAGAGGCCAGGGTATGGACAGGGTGAGACAGCTGGTCAGCAGCGTCACGGGAGAAGC